CCTTAGGTCAAGTTGCTGAGTTAGAAACTAGTTGACAGAAATTAATCAGAGTATCAGAGGGCATCTGGAAGATAGAGAGATGCACCAGGAATAGGGAGGGATTTGGAGGTGTGCCTTTTTTTGTTTGTGGGAGATGACAGCAAAGAGAGGTTAGTTAGCTAGTTGCTACTCAACCTTTCTGAATCTCACGTAGATTAAGGCAGAGCCTCTGTGCCAAGGTTAAAACAGCAGTTTAGGACTGTTTTGGAATCCTGAACACCTGGTGTAGTCACTGGTGTATTGGTCTTTTCTGGTGAATAGCCATACAACCTTTCTGGAGGCCACAGTGAGATCCCAGAAGTCAAACCTTGAGAACAAGGAAGAGTGAAGAGACCAGGGAACTTCTAGGGGCACACACCTGAGATGTTGCAGATCTACAGTTTCCCTTGGATCAATTGTTGGCTAATGTTTCAGAAGTATCTGACACTTTTACCCCCAAAGGCAACAAATTAGAAAGTCACCTGGTCTGTCACCTCTGGAGGTAATTGTTGTTTTGACACGAGAGGTCAGACACAGCTGCTGATCCAGGGTCTGGAATCTATGTGAGATGTCACTGGATCCTTCTGTTCAGATGCATGACTATGTGGTGGGCTCTGTCTCTCTCTCTCTCCTTCCTCCCTCCTCCCCCCACTCTCATCTGTGTTTCCATCAGTTCTGTCTCCCTGTATTGGCCAGTAGCTTTCTCTGGTATGAAAACTCCCTAGCTTAAGACCTGTGTCCCCTCTTGAATCCTTTTGGCTCTGCTAGGTCATAGAGAGGGGGATAAAAGTCTGTCCCACTTAAGAGCTAGAACACGTGCTTGTTTTATCGAGTCAGTAACTGTGTGGAGGTGGGGAGGGGCTGGACCTCTCAGCTAAAGAATGCACTCAGGGAAAGGGGAAAAGTTCCTGTGGCCTGAACCCAAAGGAAAAAGAAAGTTCTATTTCTTTTTCTCTCATGATTCATATCCCATTCCTAACCAATGATCTGTATACTTAACTCCAAATCCACCATTCTCTGAAAAATAGCAGAAAAACATCCCCTGGTCTGGACAGGGGTAATGACTGCCAGACATCAGACTGGAAAAAATGGATTTTGCCAAAGAGACTTTAGGCAACTTTCACTGGGTCCTTTTTAAAGGATTAAAGACAGCTGCTAAAAAGATTTCCTTTGTCACCCAAGTTGGCCCCAGATATTAGGGGGGAAAGGTTATAAAATTTAAAGGTGCCAGTTGCTGTAGGTAGCTCAAAAGGTGTTTAACAACAGAGAACTAATTGGGAAAAGAACTATTGTATAAACAGAAAGCTACCATCTTTCTCTGATAATGAGACACAGTCAGATTTACAGATACCCAAAAAAATTTTGGTGTCTTACCCTCAGTCAAAGGAATATCTCCTAGCTGAAAGTTTTGCCTCTAATCAAAAGATACAGTTGGACATCTCTCAGACTGACAACAAAGATTCCCCAGGACTGGAACATAACACCAAGTTCCTACCAGTTCAGCTAACCCCATCCAGATTAAATAGTACCCAATGACCCTGGAAACAAAGGAAATTGCAGTGCCTAGTGCCTAGTGCCTAGCTTGGAGAGAGGGAGAGGCATCCTGGTGACCTGCCAGTCACCCGGGAATACACCTCTCATGCTTATTAAGAAATATGAAGCCTCTGATTCTTTCAGAGAAACAGGTGTACACTGTCTTGGACCTGAAAGATGATTCTTCAGCTGCACATTGGCAGAGATGAGTCGACCAGTTTTGCTTTTAAGTGGACAAAACCAGAGGGAAGTTACGGTGGGCAACTTACCTGGACCTGGTTGCCCCAAAGAATTCTCCAACTTTATTTATTTGATGAGACACTAAGAGCTGACCTCCTGCCCTTCTGCCAGAGGTTTGCCAGGAAAATAAATTTTAAAAGGAACAATGGCTGGCTGCAGAGCTATAGAAGTTCACTAAGAAAGCCCAACTTTGTACATCAGAGGCTACCTATCTTGGCTACCAGCTGAGCGGAAGCAAAAAGAACCTTTCTCAGAGTAGGATTGTTGCCATCCTTTGTATTTCAACTCCAAAAAACTAAGAGACAGGTTTGAGAGTGCCTAGGTGCAGCCAGATGTTGCTTCCTCTGGCTACTAGTTTATGGAAATATCAAGGCCTCTATATATCAGCACAAAAAGGGGGCACTGAGTCCCTAATCTGGACTGAGACTGATCAAAGGGCATTTGAGGCTTTAAAAACAGCTCTGACTTCACTCCAGCCCTAACTAACATTTCCAGATGTCTGTTTGTTCACAAAAGACAATCCAAAAGGGGTTTTAACCCATTTTGTGAAGCCATGGAAACACCCTGCCTAGGAAAACTGCTAACGGAATGAAACCAGCACAAAAGAAAGAAGTGTATTGCAGTTAAAGCTGAAAAGAGTTGGAGATTGGAGTGCTTTGGCATCAGATATGGAGACGCAGAGTTGGGTTGTTTGCCCAGCTGGTTTTCAGTCGTTTTGGTCCAGTATTTCCTCACTGTGCTCACCTCCCTACGTTTTGGAACAGTAATGTATATCCTGCACACTTACATGTTGAAAACTATGTGATCTGCTTTTTGGTTTTAATTTTACAGGGAACTGTAGTTAAGAGACTGCATGAATCTCAGAAGAGACTTTGAATTTTGGACTTTTAAACATTGTTGGGACTATTACAGACTATTGTAGGTGGGGTTTTCCTATCCCACCTGCCCACTCCCAAGTAACCACACAGAGGCTTAATATTAATTATAAATGCTTACCAAAGCTGGACAGTGTTGGCACACATCTTTAATCTGAGCACTTAGGAGGCAGAGGCAGGTGGATTTCTGTGAGTTTGAGGCCAGCCTGGTCTATAGAGTGAATTCTAGGACAGCCAGGGCTATTACATAAAAATTCTGTGTTTAAAAACAGAAAAAGCTTGTCCAATAACTCAGGCTTGTTACTAGCTAAAACATTTAAATTAACCTTTCTTTATGCTCTGCTACATGACTTGGTACCTTTTCTCAGCCCGAACTTTATTTTGGCCAGTCAGCTTCTTTTTGAGGCAGGGTTTGTTTTTTCTTTCCTTTTTTTTTTTTTTGAGACAGGGTTTTTTGTGTAACTTTAGAGCCAGTCACGGAACTCACAGAGATCCACCTGCCTTTGCCTCCCGAGTGCTGGTAGGCTAGCCCTTATTTTGATGCCTGCTGTTTTGCCTTATGGGCTAATTCATTTGGATAACAGCAATATTGCCAAGACCCTGAAACTTCTTGGTGGGCATGTACCAATGGTTCAACTAAATGTACCTCTTCTGATGTTTTCAAAACTAAGTGGACAGGTTGATCAGGATCTAGAGGTATTAAAACAACAGGTGTACACCTTTGCAGAAATGATGATACAAAACTGGAGAAGCTTAGATTTCTCATGTAACAACAACAAAACCACGTATGGCTTTGGGAGAAACCTGTTGTTTCTATACCAATTGATCAGGAGTAATTAGAAAAAAAATCTTGCTGGGCTGGTAAGATGGCTCAGAGGTTAAGAGCACTGGCAGCATTTCCAGAGGGCCTGAGTTCAATTTCTGAAACCATATGGTGGTTAACAGCCATCCATAATGGGATCTGGGGCCTGTTCTGGCATACAGGCATACATACAGGTACAAAGTTGTATACATAATAAATACATAAATAAAACTTATTTATTTATTTATTTATAAGCAAAGAAAAAAATCTTACCATGGTTGGGGAAATAACTAGTCTTTCTTCTCTTAGTCTCTCTGACTAACTACTCTGCTATCAGCACTAGCCGGGCCTTTAATTCTCTTGGATTCTACTTGGATTAATAATGGGACCCTGCATCTTAAACTCTTCTCCTATAAGTTGTCTTGGTTACATTGTCTTATCACAGTAATAGAAAAGTAATACATGTTAAAAGTACTACTTTAATCATGTCCCTAATGTCTGCCAAAGCCCAAATATCCCTGCTATGTCCCTTTCAGTCTTTCATGAATTAGATTTCAGATAGACTACATGGTTGTATTACTTGTCTTACTGACAAGAATATTTCATGATTGATCTACCAGAATACTAACAGTTGCTAACAGAATACTGTATTGTCAGTTTCTAACCCAATTCATGAAACTCATTTCATTTCTAATTATGGGTAGACAAGCAAAGTAAGTTGTTTCAGGTAACACGCATTTATTTCCTTTGTGACGAGTCAGTCTACCTACCTACCTAGCAGCCTAAGATAGGGTTTCTCTGTGTAGCCCTGGCTGTCCTGGGACTCAGAGATCCACTTGATTCTGCCTCACAAGCACTGGGATTAAAGATGTGTGCTACCACCCCTGGCTTCTGAAGTGATGGTTTATATCTTAAGCCCTGGTCCTGCATTCATTCAGAATGATGTGAAACTTCAGAGAGACTCACCAAGTAGGTAGTCACCCTGCCACAATCCATATAATTTACACAAGGATATGGAGTTTTGTTGGACATATGAAAACAGATAAGCACACAAGAAAGACATCCAACCCCTGTTTTCTCAACAAAGCTGAATGAATAGCTGGACACCCCACCTCATGAATGCAAGGCTTGTTACTGGGGTATTTCAAAGCCAAGTTGGAGCCGGTTAAGTTTTCACATCATTTGTCCCAAAGAATTCACCTCAACTACAGAAAACTAGATAGTTTACATTAATTTTGTTCAAATCTTAGAGATGATTATCTTGGACATTTCTAGACCAAGATCAAGGAAGGGAGAAGTACTCTTTATGAACAGAAAGCTATGAAATAGGGCCACAGTTTCAGGAATTGTGCCTCACCCCAGCCCTACTATGGAAGAGATCAACACACAAATACACACAGGCTGTATGTGGTTACTAAGTTTAATTCAACCATTATATCCATTTCTGCCTCAAAACATTACTATCAAAATTATATTATGATGTAAGGACAGATTTCTTGCTGACATAGTGCTAGAAAAATGTTGGCACAAAATGCACTTAAAAAGTTTTAAGGCTTAATTTAATGCAAGTGATAACTGTATAAAAGTGGATTTAGCTGGACAGTACCTCCACCCAGGAGGCAGAATGCCCATGCTCTAAGCCCACTTTCAGAGAAAGAGATAGAAAGACAGGGGAGTTGAATAAGGCAGCTGCTGTGGGTCACTGTCTCAGGTCCCCATATACTCTCAGCCATCCAGGCCAGCAAGTGGTGCTTGGAGCTTTTCTCTCATTGGGTTAACTGCAGGGCCAGCACAAAGATGTCAGATTCATTCTTGACAATCCAATTTGGAATTCACAAATCATTTTTTACTTAAGAGGTTTATTCCTATCATTGTATTATTCCCTTATAGGTTAAAGACATTAGTGTCTGGGCTAAATAAAGCAAACATTTATGACATTTTCTTAAATGAAAAAATGCTCTGAATTCCAAATGACATCCTCACAACTGAACCACAACCCATTTGAGTCGTTACAGAATCACACACATGTTTCTTAGCTTCAGGATACAGGGCAACTTAAGGGGAAAAACTCTTTGGTTGACACAGCTATGGCCAAACCCCTCAATTAGCCAGGTGTAGGAAGCAGAACTTTGCAGGTGGCTCCTGCAGGCACTTAAGCATCTAGGTCAATATAAGTGTGACTGCAGAACTGTTGCTTTCCAAAATTTAATGAGGACATTTCTGGCATCTGCTATGAAGCTCTGTAGGCACTAGAACAAAAGTAGTACCACTTAGCCCCTTTCACAGATGCTCACCTCAAGAGGGAAAGAAGGAACTATGGCTGCTGCCCTTCACAGCCAACCAGAAGGGACATGTGCCTGGCATGAAATGACACAATTGGCAGCAGCATGACTGTCAAATGACAGTTGTGACCTTATTGCCAAAATGCTTAATACCCAGGCTGTTCATGAGCAAGGTTGAGGAATTGGATGCAGTTCTTCTGCTTTGCTGGACCACAGTAATGTTTTTCTAGGTGTTAGAAGAACAACCCGTGGGTATTCATAAGAAACTTCAACAGACTGGCAAAGAAACCTGCCCATCCCAGTATCCTTCAGTAGGTCTTCCTCCCAACTATAGGAACAAAGCAAGACAGGGAAACCAAGAATTCACCCAATACCTGGACATATCAGAGTAGTTTTTTAAGCCCTGCAGAAGTCAGAGACCTCATATATAGAAGAACCATGAATTGCAAGAGACCCCTCATGGGTGAGGAATTAAGTCCAACACTTAAGGCTGGTGAGAGAAACAAAAGGAACAACTCACATGCAAATTTGGCATGGCAGAAACCAAGCCAACCATAAAGGAAGACAAGTTGCTACCTAGACCTGGCCTCGGTTTTAAGTGCAGGAAGGGGACAATTCAGAGGATTAGGGTATAAAACCTTCCACTCAGGACAAGACTTAGAATAACTTTGATTTTCTGTTGACTGCTACTAAAAGGACAGCGTGTTCCAACACTACAGGGTGATGTATTGAGGGGAAAAAAGGGAAGGAGACACTAGGGTTCAGAGGTAATCTCAGAGGGGGAAACATTTTGGTGATAAGCATTCCCTGAAAGGAGAGGCTACGTAGACTTCACTCTGTCTTTAAGAGTTCCTGTTTATGTGTTTCTACTCCATCCCACAGTGAGAGATAGGCAGACTTGTTTTTTTTTTGATCAAACCATTCTTAGATGCCCAACAGCCAGCAGACTGCTGATACAAGGACAAGACAGACCCTAGTGATCCTTTTGCTAATGGGTACTGCCTCTCCTTCCCTCCCCAGAACCTTACTGTTCTACACAGAACAACTAGGAAGGAGGCACAAGAGCACCCTGCTTTATCCCACAGATGTGTATCTTGGCAGTGTGGAAGGCACAGTTCTCTCTGCCACTCTTCCAATGGCAATAAGGTCCATGAGCAGCCAACCCCACACGCACGACAAACCCTCTCCCACCCTGACTCATTTGGGTTAAAGGAAGCACTAACATTCAATACCCTATGTCTGATTACAGGCAGAGCAGGAGCCTCTCAATAGAAGGAGATGCTGGATTTGCCTCCTGGTGGGTTCAGGACCTTGTTGTGGGAACGAGGCCGTGGCCCCAGTCTGGGCTCATGGCTGTCAACCGAAGGTGTGGGCTCTGGTGTCTTGGCGTGGGTGGCTGCTTTTGAGCTGCCGTCCTCCCCCTGCTCTCCTTTGGGCGAGGCAGTTGCTGTAGCTGTAGGACAAAGTCAGTATTTGTGAGGGCAGAAACTATACTATGAAACAAGCTACAATAACTGAAAGTGTCGTAGCAAATTGAGTAAGCTCTGAATTCTACTAGGCCCCACTTGGTCTCAAGCTCATGCAGCAATTTGGATCCCTATCCTTCATGCTGCCACAAATGAGCTTCTGCAACAGTGGTTATCAACCTGTGGGTAGCAATCCCTTTGGGGGTTGAATGACCTTTTCACAGAGGTCACCTAAGACCATCGGAAAACACAGATATTTATAATGCATAACAGTAGCAAGATTACAGTTATGAAGTAGTAATAAAAATAATTTTATGGTTGGAGGTCACCACAACATGAGGAACTGTATTAAAGGGTCCCAGCATTAGGAAGGACACCTAAAAGTATTACCAAAAATAACTATGATCATGACCCCAGGCTTCTTTAAACACTAAACCCCTTGCCTGCCTGCCTATCATCTAATAATGTGCATTGGTGTTTTGCCTGCATATATGTCTGTGTGAATCCCCTGGAACCATTGTTAGAGATAGTTATTAGCACCATGTGAATGCTGGGAATTGAACCCGGGTCCTCTGGAAGATGGCCAGTGAGTCATCTGAGCTATCCACCTCTCTGAGCCATCTTGCCAGCTCCTTGGCCATTCTCTTAAGCTTGTTTTGGTCAGCTGTCTTGGAAGACATAGAGGAATGCTACCTTTTGTTTGCCAAATATACTAGCAACTTTTCTAGCATTAAGTCACATAGAAAGGGTAGGAAATATGCTTACCATTCAGGTCAGATTTAGAGTCTTCACCTTCACAGAGCAAAACATGATCCTACAACAAGATAAACCATCAGGTTAGTGATCATTCAGGTAGACAAGGAAATCTGAGGATGGATGACTTTTTTTTTTTTTTAAATCTTGTCCTCCTACACACTTAAGGCTTGAACCTAGGACCTTATGGCTGCTAGGGAAGCAGTTTAACACCAGGCCACATTCTCAAGTTCTCTTTTTACCTTTTGAGACTTCCGAAGTCTAGGCTTGAACTCGTCAGCTTCCTGAACAGCTGGGGTTATAGACTGAACAACAGAGTCTGCTTCATTATTCATTTGTTTGTTTGTTTTGCTTTGGAGCCTGTACTGGAATTTGCTTTGTAGACATAGGCTGTCCTTGAACTCAGAGACCTAACTGCTTCTGCCTCCCAAGTATTGGGACTAAAAGTATGTGTCACCAACATCCAGCTTATTTGTTTTTTGGAGACAGGGTTTCTCTGTAAAGTCCTGCCACACCTACATGCAACTAAAAATCATACAATTTCACAATGAACTAGTTGTCTAGATTGCTGCTCAATGGTTAGGTGCTTCTCTAGCATGTAAGGGTCTCTCTGGGTTTGATCAGAACTGTAAATGCATTTGTTACTGAGCCCCATGTAACCCGTTGAACTGCAACAGTGATGTATGTTAGTTCACTGTCATCCTTGTCTCAACAATGCTTTCTAAACCTTCTGGATCATACCAAAATAAATCCGTTACTTTATTTTTTCATAAATACCTCAAGATGTGACTTTTAAAGAAGTAACCACACCAGGCTCCAAATTATAAAGATTGGTAAAAATCAACCAACAACCAACCAACCAACCAACCAACCAACCAACCAACCAACCAACCAACCAACTGATTGCTGGGCAGTAATGGCCCATGCCTTTAATCTCAGGAGGCAGAGGCAGGCAGATCTGAGTGTGAAGCCAGCATGGTCTATTGAGAGAGTTCCAGGACATTCAGGGCCATCACACAAAGAAACTTGTCTCAAACAAAAAGTGGGTTTCATCATGCTGACAAGAGAGCACTGAATTTAAAAAACAACAAAGCAAACAAACAAAAAACCCATTGATTTTGAGACTACTTAGGCTTGACTTTGGGAGATGCTGACCTGAGGTGGTTGATGATGAACTTTTATTAGGAAGCCGTAACTATTGTTTGGTTCTTACTTTATTTTGTTAGTAGCTATTGACTATCATCTAAGTCTATCCCTTCAAGACCAGGTTTACAAAATGCTGGTATTCAGAAAATGGAAAGATCTCCTATGATCTTGGATAGGTAGGATCACTGTCCCTGACTTCAAATTCTATTATAGTGCTATAGTCCTGATCCTGAAAACAGCTTGGTATTGGCGCAAAAATAGATAGGTAGACCTATGAACACCTGATTTTTGACAAAGAAGCTAAATTTATACAATGGAAAAAAAGAAAGCATCTTCAACAAATGGTGCTGGTATAACGGGACGCTGGTGTGTAGAAGACTGCAGATAGATCCAGATCTATCGCCATGCACAAAACTTAAGTCCAAATGGATCAAAGACCTCAACATGCTCCCCCATAGAAAGGGAAAAGGACAAGATCTCCTGAGCAAATTGGGAGCATGTGGAGGGAGGCGAGAGGGAGTTAGGAGAAAGAGAAGGGGAGAAGAGGAGGAGAGGTAGGCATGAGGGAACAGAAAGATTGAGACAAGGAAAGAATAGAGGAAAACAAGAAAAGAGATACCATAATAGAGGGAGCCATTACAGATTTAAGGAGAAACCTGGCACTAGGGAAATGCCCAGAGATCTATAAGGAGGAACCCAACTAACAATCTAAGCAATAGTGGAGAGGCTACCTTAAATGTTCTTCCACAATAATGAGATTGATGACTACCTTATATTGCCATCCTAGAGCCTTCATCTAGTACATGATGGAAGCAGAAGCAGACACCCACAGCTAAACACTAGCCAAACTCCTGGAATCCAGTTACAGAGAAGGAGGAGCAATGAGCAAAGGGGTCAAGACCAGGCTGAAGAAACCCACAGAATCAGCTGACCTGAACAAGGGGGAAGCTCAAGCACCCCAGCCTGATAGCAGGGAAACCAGCGTAGGACTGACCCAAACCCCCTGAACGTGGGTGTCAGTTAGGAGGCCTGGGCAGTCTATGGGGCCTCTAGTAATGGATCAGTATTTATCCCTAGTATACTAATGGACTTTGGGAGCCCATCCCACCTAGAGGGATACTCCCTCAGCCTAGACAAATGGGGTAGGGCCTAGGCCCTGCACCAAATGACATGACACACTTTGAAGACTTTCCATGGAAGGCATCACCTGCTCCCCTCTCTGGGGAGCAGAAAGGAGATGGGCTGGATTTTGGTGGGGAGGATGAGAAGGTAAGGGAACTGGGACTGACATGTAAAACAACTTTATTTCAAATTTCAATAAAAAAGGAAAAAAATAAAAACCTAGTCAACAACAACAAAAACAAAAAACAAACCGCTGGTATTTGATTACATTGCTTACAAGTTGGAATACTGGCCCCCTCTCACTATGTCTCTCAGGCTGGCCTCCAAGTCACAATTCTGTTTTTATCATCCTCCCATGTAGCTTCCATTAACAGGTGCATCCACTGTGTTCAACTTTAGAGTATATTTATTACTTACTGAGGGTTGGGTGGGGCCTGCCATGATGTGCTTGTTGGGCCAGAGGACAGCTTCTCAGAGACTATTCTCTCTCTCCTTCTACCTTGTGAGTCCCAGGGATCAAACTCAGGTCTTCATACTTGAGCAAGAAGCATTTTTTACCCACTGACCCATCTTGTTGGTATTCTATAGTATTTTTGTAAAGGGGACTTTCCTTTAAAGCTATTATCACTATACTTCATGCAGGAAATGCTGCTAAACAGGGTTGGTTTTTTTTTGGGGGGGGCACATATTTTTGAGACAGAGTCTAAGTGCCCCTGGCTATCCAAGAAATAAGGGACCTGGAACTCACAGAGGTCCACCTGCCTCTGCCTCCTGAGTGCTAAGACTAAAGGCTTGTGTTACCACACCCAGTTTGGTTAAACATTTATTACCACCACCCCCACCAAATTTAATGAGTTGGTTTTCTGGCCTCTCTAAAGGTCTAAAATTTTGAAACAAATTTTAAAAAGTTGGTGAATTTTAATCCATTGCAGTTCCTGTCCTTGTTAATGATCCAATGGTTTCTCTGTGGTCCATGGCTCTTCTTTCCTTAGGTTCTCAGTCTCTGTGACAATTTCTTGACTCTCTGGTATATCTTGTATATCCTGATTTCAGCCTGAAACCGGCCCTATCTCCTGAGTCAAAGGACCCTAATGTGTACTAATGTAGAGAAGCTCTACTGATCCCCCGTTCTGTGGAAAAGGAATGAGGAAGCACCACAGCTGGCAGAGCACATGCTCCTAAGGCACACACAAAGCCTTAGGTTTAATCCCAGCACTGAATAGTAGCTGAACTGCTACACTTAATTCACACCCACAGCTAATTCAGATCCTTGCTCAGTGAAGAAGAGCTGCTCCATAGAGCAAGTGCAGTAGAGTCTCCACAAACACAAACATGCTTCTCTCTGGACTGGTTATGGTGGCAAAGCGAGCACAGGAAACGGCTGATCTGACCAGGCTAGCCAAGGCTTCTACACTCCCATTTGTTGCTATTTTTTTGTTTTGTTTTGTTTTTTTTTTTTCAACAGGGTTTCTCTGTGTAGCCTTAGCTGTCCTGGAGCTCACTCTGTAGATCTGGCTCTCTTGAACTTGTACGCATGTGGCGTACAAACATGCATATAGGCAATACTCATACATATAAAATTTAAAAATCTAAGAAAATTTTAAATCAAAAATAGTAAATGAAACAAAGATACTGCTAATAATTATAACAATAATATAGTCCTGGGCTTCAGTACCAACAAGGCAGCTAAGGCTGGCTTTGGCCAAGCCTCTACCTCAGCCCAGAGAGTTCAGAGATCTAATCAGCATGTTCAAAGGTCAAGTCCAAAGTCACATTATTCTGGTATTCTTTTCCCAGCAGCTCCTGAGTTGGAGTACAGGCAAAGATCATGTTCTCTTATTATAAGGGCACTTTCACTGGATCATAGGCCCGTGATCCCTGTCTGCCAAGCACCATATATCCTCTAAGATAACTAATACAAGCTCTACCTTGTGTGGAGAAAAGCCCAACAAGAGCCATCTTGGGCAGGGAAGGCAGCTCTTGGGTAGAGGATTTGTCTAGAATGTACAAAGCCCCCAAGTTTAATCTCCAGTACCATAAAGAGATCAGACCCATCATCTTTCCTGTCAAAAATCAATGAGAATCAAACCCTTAAGCTATGTGCTCAGTCACCCAGACCTCATGTACATAAAGTAGAGTAGTACAGGTAGGTGCTTGGCAGCTGCTGTGTAGAGAGGTGAACAGGAAGCACTGCTTCCCCCAGTTAAGAGGTTGAAGCATGTTTTCTGGGTAACTCCAAATCTACTGATGAATGACCATGCCCAGAGACCAACACTGTCTGTCTGACTCTTCCTAACTATGTAACAGCTGCCTTGGAATTTTTATAAGGAGTTAACACAACTTTTATTTTTCCATATGTTGTCCATACCTTGGGCTTGTTTGGGTGTGCCAGGGGCGCAGTGGCAGTGACTGGGGACCCAAATATGTCACTAGTCTTCCCACCAGGGGGGTTTAGACGTTGTCGAGTCTGCACAGGAGTCGATTCATCAAAGATACCACTTCCTTTGCCTCCTGCAGAAACAGTCACAGAGCAATGAACGTAGGAGCACCACCTGATCCTACTCCACTGTTGTTACTTGGAGAGAAAACCGTTCATTGAAGACTTTCTTTCTAAGTTCCAGGGCAACAGGGTAGGATAATAACTTCTAGTACCTGAAGACTCACATCCCAGCTAATCCTTAACCTTCTCTGCTGCAGCCTTCATGTGCACAGCCAAGCTGCCCTCGGCTGGACTCTAAAAGGGAGAAGGAATAAAATACAACCTTTCCCCAGAGATCCCTTAATGCTGAACAATGCAAGTTTTCCAATGGAAAGTCTCTTTTGATAATCAGGAAGAGTTCTTTCTCTCTCTTTCTTTTTGGAGACAGGGTTTCTCTGTGTAAGAGCCCTAGCTGTCCTGGAACTTGCTCTGTAGACCAGGCTGGCTTTGATCTCACAGAGAGTCACCTTCCTTTGCCTCCCAAGTGCTAGGATTAAAGATGTGTACCACCACTGTCTGGTCTTAGGAAGAGTTCTTAAGCAGATTAAAAGCAAATAACTAAATGTTTAGTTTACTGTTATTCATGGTGAACCTATAATCTGGAAAATATGTTAGTTACTGACCTCCTTCTGGCTAGAAGGAGGTAGTCATGCCTACACATCGACCAGTTAAGAGACATGCTCTTTACTGCCTACTGATTTTACGAAGCTATGATAGGAATGTACATCTCAAGCTGCTCTTATGGCCCAAGACCTGGACATTATATGAGGATGCTATGTTAGAAGGAAAGGTACAAAATATCAACTGATGTCTTCACTCAGTAGGTACCAAGCATCCACCTTCCCCATAGCATTACACCAAAGTACACCAAGTACACCAACTAAAGCTATAATCTACAACATTAAAAAAAAAAAAAAAAAAAAAAAAACCCAAAACACCCCACAAACTACCCATGTTGTTCAAGAGTTAACCTGGCCTTTCTATGCCTCTAATTCCGCAACTGTACAAAGAGGACAACAAACAGGCCAATCTCTTAGGCAGTGTGAGTATTCTGTAAGTTGCTGTTCCTAGGACAAACGCTTGAGATAATGTCTATAGAGAAAATAACTAATAAATACCAACTATGCTTTCCATATGATATGGAGCACTGTCTTCCAGGTATAACATAGCCATTACCATAATCAGAATAGCTGTGATTACCTGCTAAGACCCTCAACAAGAAAGACCTCAACAAGAGTGCCCTCATAGGAGGTGATGGGTAGGTCATTAATTAGACCCTCACTTGAAATTCCAGCCACTCCCTCTCCCCTGTATTCAGCTATATGTAATCATGATCCAGATAATATGGTCTCAGGAAATGTTAGAATATACAGGACATGGAAGTTAACTCAAGGAGGTATTAAATCTATGCAACTTTTAGGAGGCCAACATTCATGCTGACACAGGACTTTCCAGTGATGGAGGTATTTGAGTCACCCATGCATAAACAATAAGTAAAAATTTAAGAAGTAAACACTTCATTGGTAGAATCAAGCACAAACATACATTATGGATAAAAGTGGACAACTTATTTACAATGGGAAGTGTATTTTAAATTTATGTACTTGATGATCTTCCTAGCCAGGAGGTTGGTAGTGCACAACTTTAATCCCAGCACTCAAGAGGCAGAGGCAGGCTGGTATCTATGAGTTCAAGGCCAGCCTGGTCTACAGAGTGAATTCCAGGATAGCCAGGACTACAGAGAGCAACCTTGCCTCAAAGCACGTCTTTAATCCCAGTACTCAGGAGGCAGAGGCAGGTGGATTTCTGTGAGTTCGAGACAAGCCTCGTCTACTACAACAGCTAGTTCCAGTACAGTCTCCAAAGCCACAGAGAATCACTGTCTTGAAAAAACAAAAAGAAAAAAACACAAACAAACAAACAAACAAAAAAACCCGCAAAGAAAACACCAAAATAACCCAACAACAACAAAAAATATTCTTAGAAAAATATCTGAAAGTTGCATAAACCTTTAGAATATTAGGGATTCTGATACCCAAACACCCATCACACAGCATCCTTGGCAAGTCATCTGCTAAGTAGATGGAACACAAAAGATGCTCTAGGAACCTTCAAGAGAGAAGTGACAGTCAGGAAAAGCCCTTCTTTCCCTTAAAAGAAATTGTTCACAAGGGATAAGGTGCTACCAAAGGTGTCTGAAAGAACCCACATAAAAAGAAAAGTAAGGCACAAGGAGATAAGCAGGAAGGCTCTGAGTTCACAGTCTGGGCTACACAGACAGATTCTGTCTTCCAATAACAACAAAAAGCAAACCCAGAACAAGCTGGGCATGGCAGTCTTTAATCACAGCACTGGGGAGGTAGAGGCAGGCAGAACTCTGTGAATTTGAGGCCAGCCTAGGCTATGTAGTAAGACTTTTGTCTTAGAAATACAAAACAAACCCAGAACTATCTTGTCATCTTGACACAAGTCTTCTGAAGGCAATTAAGAAAATGCTTAAGAGTGAGCTGTAGGCAAGCCCATAGGACATTTTCTTAATTAGTGGTTGACGTAGGAGAGGCCAATCCATTGTGGGTGGAGCCATCTCTGGGCTTTTTGGATTCTGTAAGAAAGGCTGAGCAACGGTCAATGAGCAAGCCAATAAGCTAAGGGATATTCCTTCCTGGCTTTTACATCAGCTCCTGCCTCCAGGTTCCTGTCTGAGTTCCTGGCCTGACTTCATGTGATAATGAACAGTAAAGTGGAAGTGTAAGCCAAATAAACCCTTTCCTTCCCAACTTGGTTTGGTCAGGGTGTTTCATCACAACAATGATAAAAAAAAAAAAACCCTAAGACAATATTTTAGAAAAGAACAGAAGAGAATAAAGCCAAGGGATCTGAGAAGTACAAAGACCACACCTGGAGGATTTGTCCTCTTGGGTATGTTTTTAGGTTCTTCAGTAGGTCCAAAAATATTAGATGCCATTCTATTAGGCTTGCTTGAAGGAATACCTTCTTCTGGAGTTCCAAAAAGACTGCTGGATTCTCCTCCTGGGGGCTTCATGGATCTATAAACAAAGTAAACACAGTCAATGATAGCCAACTAACAGGCTCCTAGGACTCATTAGGAGGTGTCTTCCCTATAGTCTAACCCAATACCAGTCAGGCAGATCTCTGTGAGGTTGAGGCAGGATTTAGATAGAGGTGTAGAGGTAAGGCAAACCACATATGGAACTTTATATTTTTTAAGACTCATAATATATAGTAATGAGAATCAGAAATTAGTTTTAATTCTCTGCCAATATCACTTTAGATTCTGAACAGGATAAAAGACAATCAAAGAAGTATGATTTTGCTCTCTTCTCCATGCAGTCTTCAACTCTGCTATGTTAGTTTCCATGTACGCATGTTCCTATCTTTACCAACCTTTCTGCTTAGTAATCATGGAAGCCAGGGGTTCCCCTGCCAGAATTTATAGATGATAAATCTGGGGTCAGACCCAACCTCAGAGGATACGGTAAAGGGGTTCTTCCCCTTATGTTTCCCAGAGACCTGTAGGAAAGCATTAGGATATAGCCAAAGCCCTAGATCCTTTCCTAGGCTTTAATCCAGACTCCTTCTTAAGTGTCTTTTAACAAGTTCCATGTTTCTCTTTATCTTAGGTTCATCATCTCTGAAGAGAATTCCTGACAAAAAGACTCCCTATATTGGTATGTTTGGTGTAACCAGTGAACTGCGTAGACTAGGAAGAAAAGCCACCATACTGGCAGCATTGTCTACTTTAGATCAGGGCATTATCTACTTTAGATATGGAATAAGCATTCCCGTCTAAACTCTACTAACACTCTACAAGCATAGCTTTTAATTAAACACTCACAAAGAATGTGGTTTCCATGTCTTAGTCACAAACAGCCACACCTACCTTAAGTCCCAACCTTTGGGAAACTTCATTAGGCATGATGGGAAGTTAAAAAGTAAATAGTTTTTACTGAAGAAGCTGAAGACTTACAGAATTACTGTTAGGATAAATCATGAGGGAAACCTTGGTGGATTCCAAGGCAGGGGGACAAACACACCAGGCAGACAGCTTAGTGAGTTTTATTAGATTAGGTAGGGTGTGTGTGTGTGTGTGTGTGTGTGTGTGTGAGAGAGAGAGAGAGAGAGAGAGAGAGAGAGAGAGAGAGAGAGAGGGGAGGTAAAGAGACAAAGACAGAGGACAGAAGAGAAGAGGGAGACAGGAAAAATCCTGTCTGCTCCAGGGGAAAAGCAGAAAAGAGAGAGCAGTGTCAGTCTTTCTTTTAAAGGGGTCCTCTGCACCTGGGTTGACCAGGGTACAGCCTGAATGCATTCTGCCAGTTAATAGAGGCAGGCAGCATAATGCCTGAATCCTCACAATTATCTCAAAGCTCTGCTCTGATATCCAGAGCACAGGTATATAACAGCAATATGGTAAAAGAATTAGTATGCATTATATCAGTCACCTGGTTAGACTTGTATATTTTGTTTGTTTTTTGAGACAGGATTTCTCTGTGTAACAGCATTGGCTGTCCTGGAACTCCCGTTCTGTAGATCAGGCTGGCTTCAAACTCAAGAGATCCACCTACTTCTGTCTCCTGAGTGCTGGGATCAAAGGCATGCCCCACCACTACCTGACCCCTGGTTAGACTTTTAAAATGCCTTTTTTACCTTATTTTATTTTTTGGTTTTTCAAGACAGGGTTTCTCTGTATTGCTTTGGAGCCTACCTGGAATTTGCTCTGTAGACGATGCTGGCCTTGAACTCACAGAGACCTGCCTGCCTCTGCCTCCTGAGTGCTGGGATTAAAGGTGTGCACCACCAACATCTGGCTTAAAATACCCTTTGGTTTGTTTCTTTCCTTTCTTTCTATCTTTCTTTCTTTTTTTTAAAGACAGGATTTCTCTGTGTAACTGCCCTGGCTGTCCTCAAACTCACAAGATCTGCCTGCCTCTGCTTCCAGAGCCACCATCTCCCTGCAGATTGTCGGTTTTAATACCCTTGGGTCTATGGTCAGGCCTTTGAAAAAGAGCAATGTAATCACTAGAACTGAACTAAATTTAGTATAAAGTTGCATATGAGTCTGAGTTAATATTTCTACTTCATTCATTTTCTTATTGGGGTTTAGAAAGAGTTGAGCCAGGATCTTAACAGCACTGTCCTCAAATTCAGTTATAAAGCTAATGCCAACTTTGAACTTTGAATGATTCCTCTGCCTCCACATCCCAAGTGCTAATCATTTCCACAAACTTAAAGACAGTTGTTTTCCAATCCACTAACTAATGTCAGTTGGGTGTTTGACTTTGCTAGGCCCTTGCTCTACACATTCACCTTCCCAGTCTCTCTGTGGCTATTCTGCACCCAGGTCCAGATGCACAACAGGGAGTGACCAAGTGCTCTGCCTGGACCTTAAGACTTAGCAGTATAGCTAGGTCTGCATCAGTGGTCCATGTGTGTGATGTAAGAGAAGTAGTGTCCCTGGAACTTCAAAGCCATCTTGGGAGATGAGCCCAGACTGAGTCCATGGTGGGAATACAGGAGACAAATGGCAGTTATTGAGGTTAATGCTAATATGCATATAGAAATTAAGGATTTAGTATTGCTTTGCCTACTTGTCTGAATTGTAATTTGAAAACAAGCAAAGTAAAGCAGTGCAACACACAGTTCTGGCAAAGATAACTGGTCACTTGGGCTAGAGCAATGGGGCAAGCCCAAGTTGCACAGCCTAAAGCAGCAATGCAAGTCTTAAGGCTGCCCCAGCAGGGTCTCACAAATGGGACTGAATTCAATAGGCCTTTCAATAAATAGGGCCCATAACAATGGCACAGTGTGGTCTTCTGGAAGCTGCTAGCAGCCATTATCACAATAACACCAAAGAGTGGAAGGGGCTAGGGAAAGATTAGCCAGCTCAGATTTTAGGGCCAAATTCACTATGGCAGTACATTCTAATTACTCTTCCCTTTAGTAGTACCCCTTAAATGTTTTAATAGAAATATTCAAAGTATACAAGAGACTATAAGAGATAGAGGCTAAGATGAAAAGCTACACAGTTCAAGTGGACCACGGCACAAGAAAACAATTGGACAGTGTCAATGCCCCGAACCTCCCTGCAGCAGTGAACTTCAGAAAAACTTTTAGGAAGTGGTCAGGTCTGGGATAAAGCCATGTGAAACAGACGTGGGGCACATTCCTCAAGATTATCCACTTTGTGGATGAATGACAGCAATACCATAATGCTTTTACAGTTCAAAAGTCTCCAGCACAAGAAAATTCTTCAGTAGAGACAAAAGACAGGGTTAGGAGAAAGGAAACCCTGCAATGGAGACCTTACAGTAGCTGCAGGCAAAAACCAAGGTATAGCTTTGAAGCAATCAGTCTGACTAGGCGCTGTCTTCCCTCCACCTGAGTAAAACGACATCCACAGCTCGGTTCCTATCGAATATGGCCCTGACAGACTGAGGCTTCCAATTATACTTCATCATCCAATTAAGGCATCTTTCCTCGTCCCCACACTCCGATATCAAATAGGAACTTCTCCCCTTTCCTAAAATCCTCTCCATGGACGCCTACTTCACAACTAACTTCCGGAGCTAGGGAAGTCATTAGAACACCAGTTTCATTTTATCACTCAAAGCAGATCGCACAGAAAGTCCAGATGAAACTCTGTTGGGAAAAGTCCCCAGCCAGGGAGGCCCAGTGGGTGCACACGATGGACACCTGGTCGTGAGTTGGGTCATTTTGCTGCCACCACTCAGCCACGTTCAAGGATCGTCGTAACCTACCAAAGGCAGCTGGACGCGGGAATGACTTAGGAGCCGGCAAACCGAGCTCGGCTGCGCCCGGCTAGCGACTAGTATAGACAAGCGCTTCAGGAGAGACACGTGTCTTCGTCCCGCCGCCCGGTGTCCACTCCGTTCGCTCTCTCCCCACACTTTCTGCGAGGCCCGGCTTCAGCTAACCGGAGAGCGCGCACTCAGTACCCTCAGGGGAGCCACGAGTCACACCCACCGCATCCTTAGGGCCTCCTGCCCGCCACGTGGCTGCAGTTACGCGCCCACCCGGGCCCCAGCACCCGCCCGCGCACCTGGAGCCAGACCCGCCAGCCGGGCCGTCCGCACCCTGGAACATGTCGGCCTCCGCCCCGCGCTTCCCCAGCCGCCGCGCGGCGGTTCCCGCTTGGTCCCGCGCAGGTACCCTGACCAGCCCGAGCCCGTTGGACGCCTCCCACGCCAATCACACTTCTGCAGCCTATCGTGGAAGTATGTCCCACTCCTCCCCCCGCCCCCAACGAGAGAAAGGCTTGGAGAGAACTGCATCGCGCTTACAGCCGATTGGCCGCAGAGGCCGCCTTTCACGGTTTCGAGCATGATCATTGGTTCACACAGCTAGCCCCACCCTCCGACACCAGCGCGTCTCAGGGTGCGAATCTGCATTTCCATACGGACCTTTGGGGTTGCAGCGCCTTCAGGCGGAAGGGTATCACAGACCAGGCCCAAAACAGAAGCAGCAGGCTGTGCAATGACCTCCACTTCTGTTTTCAGCTGTTACTCAACCATCATTCCCTGAGGCCCTACCTAATGCCAGGATTCGCCGAACTCTCCTGCTGCGCCCATCCCTGCCTGTTGGCTCCAGGGTTCATCTCACTAATGCTGCGCCTTCGCCAGACCTGAATACCTCAAGTATGCTGGCTTTATAAGCAGGAACAAAAGACAGTCATTAGATCAAGTATTAGTATGTATTTATGCACAATAAAAACATTTACAAGCTGAACTGGAAATCTTAGCTGAAGTTTAACAGTTTTTGTTTATTATATTAAATAACCAAAACACCTTTTATTCCCAAAAAATTGGTAAAGAATAAATAATGTAATTTACAATATGGTACAAAAAATAATCAGAAGGACAGGCATTCTGCTTTATACATACACTGTATATTTATAGTATAAAACAAATTCACATCTCAAGCCGGAAACCTCAGATGATATGGCTTAACGATTATCAAAGCAAACAGCACTGAGTTCTGCCTGCCGGCTGCACTCCTCCCACCAGCCAGGGTATCTTACTAACTAGTAAGGCTCGCCTGGTGCAGTGCTTCCAAAACTGGACTGACCGCATCAGGCTATCCTCTTGGAACGGTATACTGTGGGTTTCTTTCCTTTTTTTATTTCTTTAAAATTGATTTTTCTTTTTTTTTAATTTTTTAAAAATTAAGACAAAGTATGGTACTTCCTCATGAATGCATCTGACAGATCTGTTTAAAAAGTACATGAAATAATTTCCCTCTAAACTTGTTTTGACCATTTCAAATAATGTGGTCTGATTAAAAATGCTATTAAATTGAATGAGACTTCCCCTAGCAGTGAGGCCACAAGGAATGAAAAAAAAAGAACAAGCTGGGGAAAAAAGGTTGACCAACAGATGAAATGTCCCCAAAGTCATACTCCCTGAGCAAGTATATTATGCCTTTACAGGATATATGAACTTCAACTTGCCTGAGCATCTTCTATAGGACACAATCCATGCCAAGCACCAGAGATACTGAATCTCAATCTTTTGAAAAGACAATCAACAAAAAGTATAAGACATTAGCATTAAGAAAAAATTTTCTCAATGGGGCGGTGGTGGTGCATGACTTTAATCCTAGAATATAGAAGGCAGAGGCTGTTGAATATCAGTGAGTTCAAAGATAGCCAGGGTTACACAGAGAATGTGCGCACGTGCGTGTTTTGTGTGTTTGTGTATGTGGTGGATCTCAAAAACAGATCTCATGTATATCACACTAAGTTCCCATGCCCAATGGAAGCCCAATGGTGAACATGAACCATCAAAACTGATGGAAAGGCAGAGAAAGACAAAGAATCCAGGAGGCTTCTTTGCTGTTTTTAAAAATCTCCAACCGTTAACAGTTTCCAGTTTTATATATGGATATTTGATTAGGTTGGGAGAAGTTATACCCATTGATTCTCTGCTACAAATAATTAATATGGTGATGATGAGCAAATGTGTCTGTCTGCCTGTTTAAAAAAAAAAAAAAGCAGTGGAATCTTCTGGAATCCTGCCAGGTTCCCTGTAGTAAGGAGTCAGTCCATTCCACTCCTGCCTGCTGCTAGGTGACAAGGGCTGTAGGCTCTGCTCCTCAAAGCAACCTCAATTCCTTTTAGAGGACGCAGAGTAATGTGCGCCTCAAGGTATTTATTGCCCAGTGGGAATCAGTTTAGGAACTGAACTGCCTAGTACTATATGCTCAGTTACCAGGAGGCTACACGCACCTATTCTTAATGTGGGAGAATCTGCCTGAAACAGTGGAAGGGCAGCTAGCAGTGGTCTAAGCTGAGCCTGGTATCCTAACTGTGCTACAGTCTCAAGACCGAAATACCTTCAGCTAAGTAAGGGAGTGCTGGAAACACACGATTGGGTAAAGACACACTAGTGACTTCACCAGTCTTCCCTAACAGACTGCTTGCTGTTCTCCTCATCCTCTTAAGAGTTTTAGACTTACCAGACCTAGGGGTTTACATGTCAGGATCTGGGGCCGATCCTTTACCAGTACCAGTGACAGGAGGATCCTAGGAGGTGAAGGAATTTGCTGTCAAAAGTCACTATCCTCTCAGTTCCTGCAGTGGAGCCTGTATTCTAGAGTTTGTAGTAGATGGTGAGACAAATGGATCAGTGTTCCACCAGGGAGGTTTCCAACCCATTCTTCATTGCAGACAGAGAGAAGTAAGGGCCTGAGCTGCAAATAAGGAAAGAACAGGTAGAGAGCAGAGGTGGCAGTTTCAGGACTGTCAAGCCAGATGTGGCGCAGGCCTTTAATCTTAGCACTTGGGAGGCAGAGATGAGTTCCAGGCCAGCCTGGTCTAGAGACTGAGTTATAGGAACAGTCAGTCAGGGCTATACAGAAAAACGCTGCCTGAAAAAAATCAGAAAGAAAGAAAGAGAGAGAAAGAGAGAAAGAGGGAGGGAGGGAAGAAGGGAGGGACAGAGGAAGAAAGGAAGAAAGAAGAAAAGGAAAGGACCTGTCAGCCCTGGCTGCTATGCTATGTGGAGAGTGAGCAGTGAGAAGATAATACAAGTGTCACCTGTTCACCCAGAACATTCTGGGTCCAGCAGGAGTGACTGTGTTGCAAGGATCTACTGAGGGCAAAGGAGGGGATGAAACTCCTTTTGGCACCATTCTAAACAGGTTAGCCACAATCATGACTGCTGACCACTGCTGGGCTCCAGAAGACAGCTGCTAAAATACCACCAAGAGGTGAGCTCTTACAATACTCTGACATTTGAACCCTGCTTAAGTCCCAGAACGGGAAGAGAGGCTGCCTGGGGCAAAGGCAATCCTCAGACTCCAGCAATAACACATGGAAAATAAGAGCACATACAAAAGCTTTAGCTGGAGATACAGTGAGAGGCAAGTAAGTAGAGAAGAATGGTATCTTAGGCCACCTAGAAAGAACTGGGCATTTAGCATAGGAAGAGGGCAGAGCCACCTAGAAGAAGACTCTTACTATTCCTTGTCCATGTCTCCTAATTCTTAAACCACAAGAAAACCATTTTTTTCCAACTAGCTTTGTAAGATTCTATAAAACACCCATACAACCTGGAGGACATACTTTCTTTCACCCTTCTTACATCAGGAAGAACCAAACCTCTGCTAGCTACATGACTCTGGGACCCTTTTCTGCTTCATGGTCAAGGTATTCAGGAAGTGTATTAGCTTGCAGATACCATCAACCAAGACCCTGGTCCATACTCAGTGTCCCTTGCAACATGACCACAGACAGAAGAGCCAAGTGGGGGAAAGGGTATCAGAAGAAAGCAGCAGTGGCTGTGACCTCCCTGCACACTCACTAAACAGCTCCCAAGACAAAATGAACACCAGGCATGTCTCTGGCAAGGAGGAAACCCTCTGGAAGGCTTAACACACAGTTAAGACACACAGTTGGGATTGCCACACAGGCTATAGGACTGTAAGGAATCTGATACCAAAAATATTTCTGATGTCTACCCTTCTCAGAGCTCGTCTTGGTCTGTGTGAATGGTACTGCCCCCGCTTGTTGGGACAGGCCATGATCAGCTGCTCCTATGGGCTGCGTATCATATGCTGTTAGAAGTGCTCTGGTTCACCGTCTCCTGGGGATTCTGGGCTTGACTCTCTCTGTGAAGACAGTTTCATGGGCCAGCCCTGTACACTTCCCTTGTGGATTCCAGGATGCCCATGTCACAAGGCACAGTCACTGAGAGAGGTCACCAACAGGATTACCACCTCCTCCACCATCAAAAAGAACCTCTCGGCGGCCAGGCTCATTGATGGACAATTCTTGGGCCAGGTCATTAAATCGAGATATGTAGTCAATGCTGTTTTCATTCATCATGCACACCAACTGGGAATCTACCACCTGTAGGACAGAAGGGACAAGAAGACCACATTAGCTGGAAGATGGCTTACCATCCTGACTAGAGGCTCTTGGCCCCCCCCCCCCCCATAGCAGAATGTCAATAGAAGGAGACTATTGCTCTACCAGGAATTTCAGATTCCTTGGTAGTCTAAGCACATGGACTTTCTGTAAGTACATACTCTGCACATGATCTTATGAAAGCCTCCAGGAACATGAGACATCTGAGGCTGAGTTATAGTAGCAGCCCTCCCAGATTCTCATGAGGAAGACAATCCACAGAAAGGTCAACGGTGACAAGAGAAGGCTGAGATCAAAGTAGGCAAGCAAAGCAGTGGTGCCTCAGAGAAGAGTTATATGAGGTGCTCCTAAGTGTTAGGATCTCAAAAGTGTGGGTACAGATACATCAACATTCGAGGAAAAATTCTCATCCCAGGGCAAAGGCTATGAGAAGGCACAAAGTGCAGCTGCTCAAGAAACACTAGAAAACTGGTACACTCAGCCCATTAAGCAAGGTAGAGAGAGAACTATTGGGAAGGACACAGAAATTTGTAAGTCCTGGGTGTTAAAGACATTATCCTGTGGAGCTGTTACCATTATTGTCTCTCTCCATTACAATGGAAGATTCATGAGAACAGGAAATTCTGTCCATATAGTGACTGTAGTAACACTTGGTAAAACTCACATGATTTTTTTCTTGGTAAACTACATGATATGAATTAATATGGGAAGAACTAAATTTTAAAATTCTTACTGGCAATGTTGAACAAAATGAAACCTGTTCTAAAAAAAAAAGGAGGGCTGGAAAGACGGCAAGTGCATAATAACAGTATTTGCTATCTGCTGCCAAGCCTGATG